AGTCCGTCGCATCCCGCCTCTGTTGCCCTGTCCCCTCCCCCCACTTCTCCCTACTTGAGGGTCTGTGGGCGCATCTTCTTCCCGTGCCGGCAGTCGGCAAGCGCGCTCTCTATGTCCTCATGCACCAGCTCCGCCTGCGGGGAAGGGGCTTCAGCGCGGCCGGCTCAGGGCGCCCGAGGGACCCCCACGCGGCCGGCCGCGCGCTGCTACCTCCACTTCGTCGCAGTGGAAGAAGTGGACGTCAGGCTTGCTCTGCTCCGAGTCCTGGCACACGAGCAGCAGCACGGACGGGTAGCGCAGCTGGTTCAGCACCGTCTGGCAGTGCTGCACGGTGGGCAGCGGGAAGTTCTCCAGCTCCTCCTGGGGGGTGGACACCGGGACGCTGGCAGCGAGGCGGCGGAACCGGGGCTCTAGCGTGGAGCTTAGAAGCGGGGTCAGATACAGGCCTTGGGCAGGGCATGAGCATGGGCTCCTGCACTTGGACCCAGACCTCGGGCACAGCGCTGGGCCCCACTCATGGGCACAGTTCCATGGACACGGATGTAGCTTGTGGACCAAGCCATGGAGTACACACCAGGGACCCAGAAAGATGACTCAGGGGCACAGAAGAGGACTGTGGCCAGGGTATGGACCATGGCCCCCAATGGGGAAGGGCTCCAGTGGGTGGATACAGCCAGGCCCTGGCTCTGGTACCGTGGTGGACAGGCTTACAAACAGCCGTGCCCTGGAAATGCCCTGGGCCCTCAGGACCCCTGCCTGCGCTTTGTCCTCCCCAGCACACAAGGACGGCAGAAGCACCCGGTCCCCGCAGGCACCTGGGACTCGATGTCCAGCAGACGAAGTGCCTGGTCATTGACTTGCAGCAGCATCTCCTGCGCCCAGATCTTCTCCTTGGAGCTGAGCTGCACCAGCTTGCGGATGGCGTCGTCCACCGAGCCGATGGCCTCACTCTTGTCCATGATGAAGGTGGCCAGGTGCTGGGGGCAGGCAGTCAGTGGGCAGGTGGGTCTCCATGTGCTGGAGTGCCCTGGCCCAAGGTGCTGGGTGTGCCCGGGGGATCTGAGGGGGCCCAGCTCCACCCTGGGGTGGTCTGAGAGGGCACAGCCCTGCCCTGAGGAGTTTGAGGGGGCACAGCCTGCCCTGAGAGGTCTGAAGGGTACACCTCCAGTTGGTGGAGCTCTGCCTTGATGGACATCTAGGGGGCCATAGCCATAGCCTGATAAAATCCCTCAAAACATCCAAACTGCACTGTTGCCATAAACCATCCACCCCATCCCTACTCTGTCCCCTGTGGCTGGCCCAGGGTCACCAGCCTCCCTCTGTTCCCACAGCCTGGCTGGGCCACCACGGGGCCTGTGTACTCACTGTTCCCTGAGCCCTCAGGCTCGCCCTTGTGCACTGGCTGGGGTGTTGCCCGCCCTGACCAACAGATACGTCCTGGTGTCTCCATCCTGTTCTTGGTTCTTCTTTATCACTATCTGAGGTTCTATTACATACACTGCTGCTTTGTGTATTGAGCTAATGGTCACTATGGGGCAGGGACTGTGTCTCCCAGTGCCTGGAGCAGTGCCTGGTATGAGACAGGGGCCCCATGACTGCGTAGGGGAAGTGAGTGTCCCAGCGTCTGGAGTGAACTCTGCCAAGTAGGCCATGGGACCCTGACCTTTTCATGGGACCCTTGCCTGGCCAGCCTTTCCCTATGCTGTCCACCTCTTCTCCTTTGTCTGAGGCAACAGGAGGGAAAATGAGTCCCCCTCCAGCCTGAGCTCCCCGTGTATCTGCCGTGAACCCTCTCAGGAAGAATTGACATAGAAACAGTGCTGGAACAACTGGGTACCTACTGACATGGACTCCAGTCAATCAAAGACCTAACTGCAAAACAGTATCATACAAGTGCTAGAAGAAAACAGTGCATAACTTCTGATAATCTCAGGGAGACATTCTTCACCAGGTGACTCTTCCAAGCAGGCAAGAAAATCCAGAAGCTCAAAACAAATTACCAGTAAACTTGATAAAAAGTAACAGCTGCTGGCAGGAAGCCATAAGTAAATCCATAGTGAAAGAGAAAAACTGGGGAAGCACAGGTAATAGTGGTGACGAAGGGCTTGTTTTCCTAACAAACAGAAAGGCCTAGAGGCATTACAATGACAGCTCTTGGTTAAAAGTTCTATTTTGTAAAATAGAAATAAGCATATTAGTGTGAATAAATATAAATGAATACACAAATGAATAGAGTGAAAAGTAGGATAAGAGCAGAGAGTTCACAGAAAAATGAGTACTTTAAAACGTAGAAAATTGGGTACTTTCTCATTCAGTGACATTGTTGCAAATGGAAACTCTGAGGCTCTGTCACACGAGGGGTGAACCACCCACTGGACTGTTCACCCATTCTGTTTACCGTTACTAAAGCGTCTGACGTACTGCTCTGTAGGTTAAACGTAGCGCCCCTACCTGCACTCACCCAGGCTGTGTGTGATGACACACAGCCTTACCTCCCAGTTCTACTGCAGGTAAACTGCAGTCATGTCAGTGTGGCCCAGCTGCAGGGTTGCTCACTGAAATCATGAACAACTGGAACCAACCTTCGTGGCCAAAAACAAGGCAAAGACCTAAGTGGAACAGTAAACACACAATGGAATACGAGGCAGCCGATCTGCCAGAAAGTCTGGTAAAATCTGCAGCATGCCTTGTTAGCAAAACAAAAAGCAAAACCATGCTGCAAGGCCACAAGTCTCAGGAAATTTCAAATGACTGAAATCATACAGAGTATGTTCTTTGGCCCAAACAAAATTAAATTAGAAATCAATTAAAAAAAAGATAACCAGAAAACCCCCCAGATAATTGGAAATTAAACAACACATTTCTAAATGACCCGTGGGTCAAGGAAAAATCACGAGGAAAATTAGCAAATGTTCTGAACCAAATGATGACACAAACATGTATTTTGTGGAACACGGCAGAAGCAGTGCTTCAAGGTAAACTTACAGCTTTAAATGACTATGTTAGAAAATGAGAAGACTGGAGCAGTGATCTACGTGTTCACCTTAAAAACTGGAAAAAGACAATCAAATACAACCCAAAGTAAATGGAAGCGAATCTAGAACAAAAATCAACAAACTGGAAAATGAACAACACACAAAAATCAACAAAGCCAAAAGTTGGTTCTGGAAAGATTAATAAAACTGATAAATTCCTAGTGAGAAAAATCTAGAGAAGACACAAATTGTCAGTAACCAGAATGAAACAGAGGCATCACTACAGATCACACAGACATGAAATTGGGTTTGTAAAACCATCCACTGAGAAAACCTCACACTCAGAGGGCTTCATGAGTAAATTTTACCAAACATTTCTGGAAGAAATCCTAACAGTCTTTCACAAATTCTTTCAGAAATCTGAGGAGGGAACACTTCCCAACTTATTTTTCCAGATTAACCTGATGCTATAATAAGGGAATTACAAGGGGTGGTGGTGGTTGTGTGCCATCGAGTTGGCCCCAACTCACAGCGACCCCTCCTGGGTTGCCGAGGCAGTATCACCACAGAAGTAAGATTACCCAACCTTCCTTCCGAGGAGTGGCTGGTGGGTTTGAACTGCCAGCCTTCTGGTTAGCAGTCAAGTGCCTTAGGCACTATGCTACCAGAGTTCCTACAAGGGGTGGGGGGGATCTCTAATGAACATAGATGTAAAAAAAATCCTTAACAAAAATACTAGCAAATCTGGTCCATCAACACACAGAAAGGGTAATACACCATGACTAAATGAGGATTATTCCAGAAATACAAAGTGTCTTCAGCATTCAAAACATCAATGTGATTCGCCACACTAAGAGATTAAAGGAGAAAAAATATGACCATCTCAACAGAAGCAGAAAAAGCATATGACAAAATTCAACATCCCTTCATGATAAAACTGTCACTCCAAGGAACAGAAAGACACTTCCTCAATCTAACAAACCATAGTCACACTACACACAGCATCTCAAACACACAATGACTTCTTAGGTGACAAGAAGCCCCAACGTGACCGAATGCTGGAATAACGGATGCTTTCTTCTAAGACTGGACCCAAGGCAAGGATGTCCACTCTCATCACCTTTGTTTACCTATGTACTGGGGGTCCCAGCCGGGGCAGTGAAGCTCAAGTCACTGAACGAATGAATGAAACAAAGAGCTATCTTTATTTGTAGAAGACATGATCCGTATCTAGAAAAATCAATTCATCTGCAAAGAAATCCCTCCAACAAGTAAGTGAAGTCGGCAAGGTCTCGGGGTATCGGATCAGCACACACACATTCAATGCTTTTCCCATAGATTAGCGACAAACAACTGGGAATGAATTATGGACCGTCTGATTTTAAAATTGATGTGCACATCCGAAGAACTTAGAGCAGAGAAGAGCATCTAGAAGCAAAGAGCAAAGCCGGAGGACTGACAGTACCTGGCTTCGTGACTAACAATGAAGCTCTGTCGTTAGTTGCCGACGGGGCACTTTGAACCATGCCGACCCCCCCGTGTGCGGAGCAGAGCCGCTCCCCTGGGTTTTCAAGGCTGTGACATTTCGGAAGCAGATGTCTTCTGAGGCCCCTCTGGGTGGGTTCTAGCTGCGTACCTTTTGGCTGGTACGTGAACACTTACGTGTTTGTGCCACCCGGGGACTGTGACAATACAGCTACAATGAGTGAAACCGTGTGCAACAGATCAGTGGAACAGACAGGGTCCAGGAGTACAACAGTTCACATCCTGGTAACTGATCTTTGACAAAGGCATCAAAGTGATTCCATGAGGGAGAAAAGTTTTTCCAACATAACTGGACACTCGTATGTGTGAGCCTGCCTCACACCAGGCACATAAATTAATCCAAAATGGATCATAAGCCTAAATGTAAAATCGTAAACTATGAACCATCTCCAAAAAACAATGGCTCTCTAACAATGTTCGAGAGTCGACGCTGACTCACAGTGACGCTACAGGACAGGGTGGGACTGCCCTGTCGCGTTTCCAGGCTGCGCGTAATCTCGGTGGAAGAAGCAGACTGCCACGTCTTTCTTCCATGGAGCAGCTGGTTGTTTCGAACCACTGACATTTCAGCTTACAGCTGAGCACGTAACCACCGCACCACTAAAAAGCAAAAAACAAAAATAAAAAGGCTATAACTGGATGCCACCCAGTAGAACCGTGTGTGCTCCCAGGGAAGAGCTGTGTGCAGGAGCCTCAGCCCGGGCTGAGACGCCATCTGCAACCACACGCCCGACCTCCCAGTAACCGGCGTGTCCCGCTGTGAACAGAAGTCAGACTGTACGGGGACAGACCTTCCAGAAGGGTTTGCAGGGCACCAGCTAGCTGGGGGGCTACTCTCACGTGCCTAGTGCCACTGAGTCTCATTGTACACAGTGTTTTCTTCATTCAAGCTTATGAAGCAGAACAGTGGTGCAGTGGGTAAGGTGTTTGGCTGCTAACCCCAAGGTCGGCGGTTCAAACCCACCACAGGAGGAAGATGAGGCAGTCTACTTCCTTCAAGATTTACAGCCTTGGAAACCCAGTGGGGGTCCCTGACCTGGAATCCAGTCCATGGTTGTGAGCTGGCTGGTTGGTAAGCAGGACATTAGTGTGTCAGAGAAAAAGGGGAGGCCCCAACAAGGTCAACTGGCGCAGTGGCTGCAGCAGCGGGCTCGAGCACATCACAGACCGCGAGGCTGGCCCGGACCAGGCAGTGTTTCGCTCTGATGCACGGGGGCCGCTACGAGTCGGGATGGACCCGGTGGCATCCAGCAGCAACGAGCAGAATAAAACGGGTTATAACCACGTTCTGGCCCGTGGGACATTCCTAAAGAGACAACCCATGAGGCTGGAGATCAGATCAGCGGACACGCTGGGTGCAGGTGGGGTGCTGTGCTAGTGGAGTGGCGGGAGGAGGGAGGTTTTGGGGTGAGGGCTGTCTGCGTCCTGACTGGTGTGGGTGCACAAGCCTGCTGTTAGCTGTTGCAGGCCTGGGCCCCGACTCGCGGCACCCTGTGCACGGTGGGCCCTGACCATCATGAGGCAAAGGGTCTCCATAGCCTGATTTGTGGAAGTCAGCCACCAGGTTTTTTCTTCCTACAGGAGCCTACACGTGTTAAAATCCACAGAACCACACTTGAACAGCAGCAACTTTACTGCGTGAGATGTTTTTTTTTTTAAAAAAAGAACAAAAACACACCTGTGGCAACCCCCATGCCAGCAGGGGGTCTGATGGTGCCCCACCACCCCTCTCTGGGCTTGTTTCCTCATCTGGGGAGGGCAAGAAGACCCCGCCCACTCTCTCACCCCTCTGGGTGAGCAGAAGAGGGCCCCACGGGGGCCTGGCTTGGCAGGGGCAGGGGGCCCTTCCACTGTGGTCAGCTGAGACTGACGTTCTGGCCTGGGAGGTGAAGGTGGCGTTTGAGACTTCTCCCCAAGGAGGGCAAAGTCTCACCCCGGGCTCAGGGCAGACAGAGCTGCCCCGGACACACAGCTGCTGCTGGCAGTCACCAGCCCAGCCGCCCACACAGCCCCGCCCGAGTGGGTGGGAAGGGCCCGGTGACCCCCACACGCCCTGACTGCAGAGCCGCAGGGAGGCAGTGACAGGTTCCCGGGGCCCCCCCCCAACATTCCTCCCCACTGCCTGCAGCCTTGGACGATGGCCAGGAACACGCAGCAGCTCCCAGGAGCAGGGAGGCCATTTAAAACTCGCATTTCCTGAGTTCAAAGTGTGAATTAAACCCAGAGAAGACCTTTGAGAGCTGGTGGCTGCTCCACAGTGAGGATGACTGAGTGGGCAGGGATCAAGGTCCCCAGGCCTGGGCAGAGCCAGTGAAGGGTGGCTTTGTCCCTCTCCTGCCCAATCCAGTTCCTCGTTTTGGGGCTGGGATAACCATTTCCTTCCTGCTGGATCTTCCCGGCAGGTGGCTACAGGCCAACACCAGGGCTACACCTGCTGCTTCTTCACTCTGATCGTCAGTGCAGGACTCAGAGCCCCTCTGTCCCCCAGAACGGGAACTCCCAGGGAGGAGCAGGGCCCCCCTTTGTCCCCCCAAAATGTGAACTCCTAGGGTATACGGTCCCCTTTATCCCCCCACTGAACGCCCAGGGTAGGGTGGAGTGGGGGCTGCATAAACTGTGGCTGAGTCGGGGACAGCTGTCCTGGGCTCTGGCCTCACCCTGCCCACTGCAGGTCTCAGAACCTGGCCTGGCCACTTCTCCCAGAGCCTCGGTCTCCCCACATGCCCTGTGCACCCGGGAGCCCTGAGAGCGGGCCTCACCTGGACGTGGTACTGCGAGGTCTCGTGCATGATGACGTTGGAGTTAGAATACTTCTTCCTCTGCTCTGAACCAGGACATACGGTCACTCAGCCCCGAGGGCGGCCCCTGTCCCCCACTGCAGGTGGGACTGGACCCCGAGGGGGACGAGATAAGAAGTGCAGCCATGGGAAGGTCCAGGGTGAGATCCTGGAGCCAGGAGATACCTCCCCACGATGTGAGTGGGGGCCCTCCTTAGGAGGGCCTATCTCCTTCTTGGGGACAGCCCCTGGGAGTCATGGTCAGACAAGATGTGGGCTCACAGTGGTGATGGGCAGCCCGTGACTTGGGTGGGGGGTCTGTCCTGGAAGCATGCTGGAGGCTCAGACCCTCCTAAGGAGGCTGCCTGACCCTTGCCCAACTTCCTAGGGGAGGAGCCGGGTCAGGGCCTCCACCAACCCTAGGAGCCTCCCTGGGGCTTCTCCACTTTCTAAATGGGGCACAGAGGAGGGGGATGGCAGAGTTGGGAGCCTGTGCTGGAGAGGGACAGAACTTGGGGAGGAACAGAGTTGGGAGGGGAACAGGGGAGAGGCACGGGGTCATGGCCATAGGGAGGGACAGAGGTAGGGGAAGGCACAGAGCTGGGGGAAGCTCAGAGCTGGCTCCGCAGGTTTGCCCCAGGCCCACGCTCTCCCCACCTTCTCCCCAACATTTGTATGGTGAGATGAAGGCACCCCCAGCCCCACTGCACAGACCACTGGCCCTGACTCTGGGGCCCTGGGGCACTTCCTGTGGCTTCCTCCAGGGGGCAGAGGGGCAGCCAGGACCCTCCCTCTGGAGCAGACACCTGGCGACTTGGTCCTGCCTAAGCCCAAACCCCACCCCAGCGATCCGGTTGCAGCAGTGAGGAGCCTGGTCGGTCAGATCAATATTGATGCCTCTTGAATTATTACTAAAGGCCTCTCTCCTTACTGAGGGGCGGGGGGTAGGTGGCCCGGAGCTTTGGGGAGGGACTCTGCCCAGCTGTTGGCTGATGAGGGTCCAAGGTCCTCCTCTGAGCACCTCGGGGCTGAGCAGCCAGGCCCCAGCACAGCCATGGGACCCCTCTCCCGCCCTGCCAGTGATCCCTCCCTGGTGGACCTGCTCCCCACTTCTTCCCTGTCCAGTCCAGCCTGTTGGCGAATGTCACTCTGGGAGACTCACCAAACAAGTCCTTGGCGCTCATCTTGGCCACCCCATCAGACCGGCCCAGACTGCCACTGTAGGGAGGGGCTGGTGAGGGCAGGGCCAGCCCCACAGCCCCCCAGGATGGCTCTTGGGATGGGGAGGGAGGGCAGGGCTCACTTGGTAGCACCCAGACAACAGCTTACAGACCCTGACTGGCTCATGGCTTCCTCTCAGGCGGCAACTGGGAAGTCAGGGCCACTCTCTGTGCTCAGTGAGTCCTAGGACCCAGTGCCAGCCCACACCTGGAGGGACAACAAGCGGACTGACCCTCCTGCCAGCCCGTGGCCCATGTGCTCCCAGGGCAGGCCTGGGTCTTAGCTTCCCCCACCCCAGATCCAAGCCAGCCCCTAAGACCCTCAGCTGGTCGCCTGGCCCAGGCCACTGCCAGTCCAAGATGGAGGCTGGGCGCTGGGGGCTGGGCTCCCCAGAGGGCTTGGGCAGGGGTTCTCTGGTGGCAGGGCCTCTGACCCACACCGAGACCAGCTCCCCTATGAGAGCTGCCCATTCACGCAGCACCCCAGCCGGCCCTAACTGACACCTCACCTGACTGCTGGCCCTCAGCCTTCCACAAGGACCCCAGGGACAAGCTGATGGTCTCTGACTGGGGCTGTGAGGCGAACTCTGGGGGCAGGAAGAGCCTTGCAGGCAGGGGGACCAGCACGTTCAAAGGTTCTGAGGCCAGTGTGAGCCTGGCATGTGCAGGGGTTAGGAGAGGGGCCCTAGGGGGCACAGCCCAGGGCAAAGTCCAGAGGGAGCCCTGGCCTCCAGCCCCCTGCTCTTCCTCCACCCCAGCCCACAGCTCAGTTCTGTGGACCCGAAGCCCACCCATGGAAGCGTGGGCCAGCCCTCAGCTCCCTCTTGGGCCTAGGAAGCCGGACATGGGAAGAGGCCCTGGAAGGGGCTTGAGGCCGTGTGGGTGGAGATTCTGGGTCCTGGGTACCCAGCAGCAAGTCTAGAAGCAGGGTGTAGACATCTCTGCACATTGAGGGGTATGGCCAGGGCTGACCAAGGACACCCTCAGGGAGGAAGTGGAGAGGTGAAGTGGGGGCCTTAGCCACAGCTCCCCAAGACTGGAGTCCAGAAGAAGCCCAAAGGCGATGACAGGTGGCAGTACTGCCTTTCCTGACCAGGTAGGGGTACAGAAGGGATGGTGAGAGGCCCGGGACAGCCCCATGCAGACTCGGGGGACCCAGCTCCGAGTGGGGAAACGGGCCTGGCACACAGGGGTCTAGTTTGGTTGGGTCCTAGCGCATCCTGGGGTGAGGAAATGGCCCAGTTGGCTTGTCCCCTGGGGCCTGTGTGCCCTAGGGTTGGTGCCCGTGGGGACCCACTGTGCTGGGGCTGCCCCTACGTCCTTGTAGGGGCAGTAGGGCAAGGGTACCAGCTTGTCTCTCTGTGGCTCTGTGACTGGCTCCCGATGGGGAGGCCTGGGCACCAGGGGGATGGGGGAGGGAGGGCTGCCTACTGCCAAGCCTCAACTGTGAGGCCCACACTCTGTGGCAGCCTTTGGGTGTTGGGATCGAGGGTGGAAGGACTGAAAGTCCTCCAGGGCTTTCTGGTTTGACTAGCTGTCCCTATAGGGAACATTCCCCAGAGGTGTGAGGGGCTGGGGCCTGGGCCTTGGCCTCAGTTGTCACCCCGCCTACATGCCACAGAGGGTCCTGGCTTGCAGGGAGGGACTAGGACCGATTCCATGGTCCATCTGTCCATGGAGAATGTCTGGAATGTATGTGACCTCAGTGAGTGAGCCTGAGTGTTTGCTCAAAAGGATCCCTGCAGACTCGCCAGGGCGTCTGCACACGTGTCCAAGTGCACTCATACCAGGGCCAAACATGAACAGGTCTGTGCAGTCCAGACTTGCAGTGTGTGTGTGCACATGAATGTGTGCACACACACACACGCATGCACACACACGCACACACCACAGGCCCTGGCAGGGACACTGGCCAGTTCCCTTTGGGGGCTCTAGACTAGAAATCTCTTTGCCTTCAGCTGTGGGGGGGACCTCAGGAGCAAGCAAAGGGCAGAGGGGGTGAGGTGGGCTCAGGTGCTGGCATCTGTGGAGGGGAGCACCTGGGAGGAGGCCTACAGGCTCACCAAGCCCCGGCCCGTCCCACGGGGAGCTGGCCAGCCGGGAAGCTGGGTGGGGAGGGCCGGCCACCAGCTTGGCCTAGGGCCCCAGGGCCCTCTGCACTTTGGTTTTACGGTTGACATTTTCCGGGTGCGAATGGAGGCCCGCCAGGTGCCCGGTCAGTGGCAGGGGGAGGGGCCCGCAGGGCACGGAGGGCGCACGGACCAGCTCCGAGTTCAAATTCCAGGCCTGCAAGCGGAGCGACCTTGGGCGGGGAGTCGCCTCCGCTCCGCCGCCGGCTCACGGGAGCGCGTGGGGCCTGGGGAGGTCCGCAGCGCTGGCTGCATCCGGGCCTGGGAGGCGTGGTGTAGGGGGTAAACCTGCGAGCCCGCCAGGGTGCGGATGATCGGGAGAGGCCGGCCCAGCGGGCGCGGGGCGGGGTGCTGAGCGGGGGCGAGGGGAGGAAGCCGCGGGCCTCGGGCCCAGGGGTGAACTGCCCCAGGGCTGGAGTCAGCGGAGGGCTGCGGGACGCCCCCACTCCAGACCCCGTCAGGAGGGAGGACAGTCCCGGCCCAGCGCTCCTGGCACAGAGACCAGGAGCCCGGGGGGCCGCCACGGGTCCCCGGCACCCAGCTCCGGACCAGCCGGTCTGCCGGGGCCTCCTCCCCGGAACTCCCCACCCAGCCCTGCCCCGGAGCCTGGCCCCGGCACCCGGAGCCTGGTGCTTTCCCGGCCGGGTCTCCTTCTGGCTCCGACACTCAGAAGTTCCTCCTGACGTCCCAGCTACGGGGACGCTCGCGGTTCTAGGACAGGGTGGGCCCACGTAAGGGGCAGGGCTTGGGCTGCCAGCACTCCCTTCTGTGGGCGCAGGGGTCCCCCCTCCGAGCCCCAGGGCTAGGCGAGGCCCGGGACGGGCGTGTGACTCATCCACCCCAGGCTGGAAGCATCCCCGCGCGCAGCCGCCGCCCGGGGCCGGCCAGGTGGGCCCGTGCCCAGGTGAGCCGGTGGGTCGGCGCTCGCCCCCGCCTCGCGCTCAGCCCGCGCCCCCCGCGCCCGCCCCACCTGGGGAAACTGAGGCCCGGCCTTCCGTGCGCAGCTCTCGCCGTCCCCCGCTTGGCCAAAGCACCGCACTGGGGGGACTGGGGCTCTCTGGGTCCCCGAGATGCGCGGCCCGCACCGGACGGTAGTCCTACCTGCTCCCTGTTGGCCCCTGGTCCTGCGCCGCCCGGGCCGGCTCTCGTCGGTAGTCCGTCCGCCCGATCGTCCGCCCGTCTGTCGGCACCCCGGCCGCGGCGCCCGGTCTCGGGCGGGCGGGTGGAACGCTCGGCAGGGCCGCGCCGGGCGGGGCTGGGAGAGGAGGAACCTGAGCGACAGGTTACAAAGTAACCAGAAAGCCCGGCGGGCGCGCGGGGGAGGCGGGCACCCCGCCTGCCGGCCCCGCCCCCGCCCAGCGCCCCAACCTCTGCTGCAGACCGCGCCCCGCAGGGCTTCACCCAGGTCAACCTTCCCCGCGGTCGCGAACCCACCTCGGGCTCCCTGCGTGGGCCCCACCCCCGTGCTGGGATGTGCGGAGGACTAGGGAGGCCTGGACCGGCCCTTGCCTCTTCCTGGGGCAGGGCCAAGCGCTTCCCAGCCGGTGTGGGAGCCTGGGGGCCCCTGCCCCTGGGGGCCTGGGGAAGGGCAGCCCTGGGATTGACCGTCAGGGCTCCAGTAGGACAGGTGTCCTCCCCCCCCAGGGTTTCAGAGGACAGCTGTCCAGGCCCCAGAGCCCTCTCCACCTTGGTGGGGCCGTCGGGTCCCTGGATCACCCAAGGTCACCCAGGGCAGAGGCTCTTGTCCAAGAGGTGGGGAGGGCCAGTGTTCAAGCTCCAGGCCTGCAGCTTGGGGTGGGGGCATTGCAGGGGGCGGGGACGAGG